ATGAATGGTCATCATGTGAAACTGGATATATAAGCTGTCTCATAAAGTCAAAGTGCACGATGTTGGTGCTTCCGCTTTAATGTTATATTCATGAGAATAATCGTTGATGAGTGAGAGGTCCTTTTCAGATCCTTTTCAACGGGAACGTCTAGAGCTGGGCAGCAATCAAAGATCGCAGATGATTGTTTTCGCCTCTCTCACACCTGGCTGAATAGTAACAACGGATTGAATTAGGTGATATTATGGAATACACACACACACAGCATTTTCGTTCCGATCGTTGACCAAAGAGAACAACAAGGGGAGTGCCATGCAAAAAGTTGGACAGTGACTTTTGTAGAAAAAGGAAAACAATCCAATTTCAAGTTTAAAAAATGGATTCCAGTTCTTCTTCTTCTCCTCCTTCACCGCCTGTATTTACCAAAACGTCATATGTTCTATAATTCGAAATAGTAAAATGAAAACATGAATGTCTTCTTCTCCGTCATGTGTCCCAATCTTTTGTTGACCAAATACGGCCAGGAATCAAGAGACCACCACCTGCACATCTTGAAAATTCAAAATGGAAACACTCAACAACAAGGTTCATTTACGTCCTTTTCATGTTTGTCAATCTCCCCTATTACAATAGGCTCTCCAGTAGATTATGCCGACCCGATGGATTAGCGTACGGAAGGACGCGCGCGCGCGCGGCCTCTTTCGGCTAATTGGCTTGATAAGATTCCGCTGTACGAATCATGGGGGACATTTGCTCCAATTACATTTGGTGGTGTTTTTGCAAAAGGATTTTTTCGCAAACAAGAATAAAAAATGATTGACGCATTGCGCGTGGGTGCAACAATAATAAATGTCAGGAATCTATCTACAAGGACATCTGATAAGCCCGCTCCAATTGTCTTTTTGAGTAGACACGCACATGCATAGATGATTGTCAGGTTGCGTGGGGATGATTCATCTCACAAGGTGTTGTTTGATATTTTGGTTTAGGGCTTCTAAAAATTGTATATAGTGGGCAAACGTACAAGACAAAGAGAGAAAATGTACTTTTCAGAGAAATATAGTTGAAAACAGAATAATATACAATTTCAGTCTGGAAAAAAGACAATTTCCGGCGCCACCGGTGGATTAGAGGTGGATTCGATGAACCGGAGGTACACGTTTCAACGATGGGACCGGAAAACTTATTAAAAGTTCATAAAAAAGGGAAATTTGCAATTCAAGGATCGTGAAAATGTATGGAATCAGGAAAAGTTGGAAAATGTTAGATATGACTGTATGGTTTTCAGTTACTGCATTCTATCCGATAGAAGGTCACCCTATACGTGCATATTGAGCTCAATTGTCTTGGTTCTAAAAAAATATCAAAAATGTGTCAACTGATAAAATTTTCCTTATGTTATGATAAACACTTTATCAGTTGACAGTTTTTCATATCTTTAAAAGAGACCGAGAAAAATGAGCTCGGAGTTAAACTTTAGGGGCAGTTCTATTACAGGTTTTAGGGTATGTCTCTCAAAATCTCGAGAAACTATCAGTTGATGTGACAAATTTCTGTATAAATTCAGATGTTGCATCAAAATAAGTGACCATCAAAAGAAAAAATTTCGAACGTATTATAGTTCGAAAAAGCTGGTCAACATATGTTTTTAAGATAGAATGTGTTTAGTTTTCATTGATAACTCAATCAGGAAAATTTTTAATTTTTGAAGTTTGAAAAAAAAGAGAGTAGTGTTCAAAGCCTAGGCCTAAGACAATCCATTCAGAATTTTCTGTACAACACAACAAAAATCCTAGAGAGACTGTCTAAAGATCTGCCGTGAGCCAATTTATCTCGGATCCTGCAAGAGACATCAAAAAAGATCAATTTTCGTATTATTTTCGATAAAGTGATAAACATTTTGTTAGTTTACCACCTTTGGATTTTTTCGCAAGTATCGGGATAAATTGGCTTAAAGCATCACGTAAAAAGATACCTTCTATTAGAGTGTTGACGGTACTGCTGTTAGGACAGTATCATTGCACGATTATGACTGACGTTCATCAAGGGTTTTAAAAATGAATTGGATTTTTAAAAATGTGTCGATTTGTGCAAAACTGATTTCTGACTGATTTCTGAAAACTCTAGTTACTTACCATTTGAATTGAATTATCTCAATTTCTTAGTAAGATATCAAAATTTTTTAACTAATAAAATTTTTACCATAACACCACTAAAATTTTCGTGGGTTACAGATCTTTGATATCTGTTACAGAAATTGAGATAATTAAACTGAAAGTGCAATTATACAATTGTCTTTTTTTTGTGTTTACGGTATGTTTCAATTAGTCATTATTAAATTACACTTTAATTTTTAGTATATGGTTTCCTTTAAAAGATATCAAAATCCTGGAATGTTGACCATAATTACAGTTTTTAAGGTTTTTTACTCTATCTAATCAGATTCGTTGCTAGTTCAGTGGAACTGGGAGTTCTTCAAAATGAATTGCAAATTTGATCATCATTTTGTCTATTTCTTACAGTGTAAATTTTGTCTTGGTCTGTCTGCCGATTTCCTCTAATTTTTTCAAGTTTCGTCAAATTAAATAGTCTACCGTGGCTTTGGAAGAGTTGCAAAGAAGCGAAGTCAACTTTATAGGCGGAAGTGGAATGAAAGCGAATGTGAAGACTGACATGGAATGACTCCCAAGTGTTACCTTCGAAAAAATCGAGACCTATATGGTTGGATAGAGCGTAAAAAGTTATCTCAGATTCCAAACGGAATAGTTGGTAAAAAATTTCTTTTGGGAGTTATGGTCCAAAAAGTACCAAAAAATGCCTAAATTTTCAAAAAATCATAACTTTGTCAGTTTATGTCCGTTTGTTGAAATTAAAAAAACAGTAAATAGACAATTGATTGAACATTTGAGAATAAAATTTTTTAATTTTTTTCCTTTTGATTGGATTATTGATTTTTTGAAAAAATCAAAAATTTTTTCAATATCTCAAAAATCCTAGGTTAACTTTTTTTTTTCATTATGATCATCAAATTTAGCACATTTAATTTACTATAGAAACATATCAATACCCCGGGGGAAATCATGCTCACACAATTTATGCCAAATGATATCGATTTTTGGCACTTGGCTTCTTTGAATTCGTTGCCCTCGGCGGCCGGTATGGTGAGAGGCATACTTGTTTTTGTGATTTTTACTTGCGTATGGTTTGCCTAAAATGTTTGAAATATAATCCTGCGACATACAAAGTCAATTTTTCAAATGCCGTACCATTTCTTAAAATCATCATCTTGAAAAAAGCAAAATTTTGACATGTGACAGGGCACATCTATAGTTAAACTTGATAGAAACGGCCAAACTTATTTTTTAACATAATCAGAAGAACAAAATCTTATCAACGGCTTGAACAGAATTTTGATTTAGGCCCTAGAATCAAAAATATTTACGATTTTCCGAGCCTGACCCCTATTTTTGGTGCAGTGTGACATGTGACAGGGCACATCTATAGTTAATCTTGATGGAAATAGCCAGACTCTTGTTTAAACATGATTAAAATGACAAAATCTTATCAACGACTTGAACAGAATTTTAAATTAGGCCCTAAAAATAAAAATATTCACTGATGATAGAACACCTTTTGTTTTTGATCATAACTTGAGAACGAAAAAAAATATCAAAAAACTGTTAACGCCATTCGATTCAAAATTAAAAAATATTATTAGACAAATGTTATTGGTTTGTTTCGTTTCGTGAAAATAGGTGAAATGGAAAATGGTCGATTTCGGCTGTCCGAAGCTGGAAGGATATCTTTCGGAAATTGTTCATTTAACCTACTTTCACCACAGTGACCAAATTGATTCCATTTTTTCTATGTTATTGTTTCATTTTAAATCGAATGGAGTTACCAGTTTTTTGATATTTTTTTCGTTCTCAAGTTATGATCAAAAACAAAAGGTGTCCCATCATCAGTGAATATTTATATTTTTAGGGCCTAATTTAAAATTCTGTTCAAGCCGTTGATAAGATTTTGTCATTTTAATCATGTTAAAACAAGAGTCTGGCTATTTCCATCAAGATTAACTATAGATGTGCCCTGTCACATGTCACACTGCACCAAAAATAGGGGTCAGGCTCGGAAAACCGTAAATATTTTTGATTCTAGGGCCTAAATCAAAATTCTGTTCAAGCCGTTGATAAGATTACGTTCTTCTGAATATGTTTATAAAATAGTTTGGCCGTTTCTATCAAGTTTAACTATAGATGTGCCCTGTCACATGTCAAAATTTTGATTTTTTCAAGATGATGATTTTAAGAAATGGTACGGCTATTGAAAAATTGGCTTTGTATGTCGCAGGATTCTATTTCAAACACTCTAGGCAAACAATACGCAAATAAAAATTACAAAAACAAGTATGCCCCACATCATACCGGCCGCCGAGGGCAACGAATTCAAAGAAGCCACGTGCCAAAAATCGATATTATTTGGCATAAATTGTGTGAGCATGATTTCCCCCGGGGTATTGATATGTTTCTATAGTAAATCAAATGTGCTAAATTTGATGGTCATAATGAAAAAAAAGTTAACCTAGGATTTTTGAGATATTGAAAAATTTTTGATTTTTTCAAAAAGTCAATAAACCGATCATTGGGAAAAAAATTGAAAAAATTTAATCTCAATTGTTCAATCAATTGTCTATCTACTGTTTTTTAAATTTCAACAAACGGACATAAACTGACAAAGTTATGATTTTTTGAAAATTTAGGCATTTTTTGGTACTTGTTGGACCATAACTCCCAAAAGAAATTTTTTACCAACTATTCCGCTTGGGATCTAAAATAACTTTTTACGCTCTATCCAACCATATAGGTCTCGATTTTTTCGAGGGTAACACTTGGGAGTCATTCCATGTGAGACTAGATTTGTGCACCTAAACTGAAAACTGTGAAAAGACTTTCTAACAACAACAATCATTTATTGATTCGAGAATCTAATCAATTGTTTCTTCCTAGATTCTCTTGGCGGACGATGTGGACGGTCCTTCGCCATCGTCCATGTCCAGCAAAATAACATCGTCGGTAGCAGTCTCTTCTTTGACTTTCTGAAAATGATGTTTTAAAAATTTAGATTTCTTTCTAAAAAAACCTTTGGCCTTCCTCTTTTGCGTGGCGCCAGGTTCTGGTCAGAAGCATTGTTGAGAAGCGTGGAGGGATTGCGGAAGCATCTGGTTGAAGAATTTGGCGCCCGTGGAGTAACCTGTGAATTTAAGTCTACAAGTTGTAGGAAAAGAATATAATTTATTCTTACTGGAGCGTCCGAGATTCTTGCAATCGATCTCTCGACGCGAGTTTGTTGAAGAAGCAAAAGCTCGGTTTCTTTCTGGCTGAGAATTGTAGCTTCGACCATTTTCACACGCTCCCTTTTTTCAAATTCAATTTCAGCTCAAAGCCTCCCTTGCTTGAAAGTCGCCAATTCATCTCTCAACTCCATCTCTATCTAAACGAAAGACAAATTTTAAATAAAAAAGATCACATACCGTATTTCTAATAGAAGGCCACCCCGCGAGGTTCTTTGAAAAATAGAAGCTTACTTTCCAGTAGAAGTCCATGGGTTTCTATTGTAGAAAATGCGGTGATTCAAAATTCTAGAATTTCTGAAACTGCGATCTTAGAACTTGACAATTTCCTTATATCCTAATTTTTTTAATTTTCGAATTTGGGAATTTCAGATTTTCAGATCTTTTTCCGGAATTTCAGAACTTCAGAATTCCTTAATTTTCGAATTTTGAGATCCTGGAATCTCAGAATTCATAAATTTGAAATCTTGGAATTTAGAATTGCAGAATGAAACTTTCAAGTTTGTATTGAATTTCAGAATTCTAAACTTCTGAATTGTCAACTTTCTGAGTTTTTGAAAATAAATCATTGAAAAATAGAAGCCCACCTCTAATAGAAGTCCACTTTTAATAGTAGCCCATCCCGCGAGGTGCTTCGAAAAATAGAAGCCTGTGGGCTTCTATTAGAGAAAATACGATAATTCGAAATTCCAGAGTTTTTGAAACTGTAAGTTTAGAACTCGACAATTTTTCGAATTCTGAATTTCCTAGTTTTTAAATTCCGGAATTTCATATTTATAGAATCTTAGAATTTTTCCGGAATTTCGGAATTCCTGAATTTCTAATTTTGTGTGCCTGGAACCTCAGAAATTCATAAATTCTGAATTTAAGAGTTCAGAATTGCAGAATAAAATTTTGAATTCTCCAAAACACTGTATATCAGAAGTCTTCTCTTCTGAATCGTCGAATTTCTGAATTTTTGAATAACATTTTTTTTTGAAAATAAATCATTGAAAAATAGAAGCCCACCTCTAATAGAAGTCCAACCTGGGAGAGATAGGTTGAAAAATAGAAGCTCATGGGCTTCTATTAAAGGAAACACGGTAATTAGACTCACAGCGTTTCGCTTGTCTTCGTCATCTTCGCGTTCGGAAAGCTTCTCTTTTGGTCCATACCCCCATCCAAGTTTTTTCAGCAGATCAGAATGCGGAGTCTCCCATGTGTGGGTCCTTCTATTTTTGCAAGATACCTCCGGAGGGTCCTCCTGTTACAGGGGCTTTTCAATTAGACGGGTTCCTTCTGTTTTTCCCGAAATTTTCCATCGGAAAATTCGACGAATTTTCGTTCGAAATTCATGGAAATCTGTCAATTTTATCAAAATTTAGCTAGCTTTTATCAAAAAAAATGTTTCAACAAATTGCTATAAAATTGATGAACTCTCGAAATATTTTGCGCTGAAAACGTACGGAAAATTTTAAATATCAAAACAAATTCCAAAAGCCCTTCTATTACGAGGGTTCTTCTATTACAGGAGGTTCTTTTATTTTTCCAACCCCCTCTTGGAGGGCTCTTATTTTAGAGGGGCCCTTCTAATACAGGTTTTACGGTATTCAGACTGTTATCTGTTGAAAATTGAATCTACCTCGATTGTTTTCAGACGAAGAGCTGCTTGCGATCTTTGGTGGAGGCGGATTGCCAAAAATTGATGATCCTCCAAAAACAGCATGTGTCTTGGTCCATGGCACTGAAAATCAATATTATGATAAAAACTGTTGATGTTTTTGGAAAATTACACGGGTTGGTCTTGTCTCCACCATTTTTCTTCACAACATTGCTACTCTTCAGAGGATCATTGGCCTTCCCAACATCCTTGATCTTCTCTCTGGATGCTTGCTCGTCTTTAGTATCATTGGCTTTTTCTTCGGAAGTTGCTTCTTGGTTCGGATCCGACATTTTATTACCTGAAAACTATTCCGCTTTCTCCCAAGAATTTAAAAGAACAACATTCCACGAGTTTAAAAGAAAAAAAAATTATCCAAAATTGGGAAAATGAGCAAAAAGTTGCCTACAAAGCAAGGAATAAACAGAAATTCTTATCAAAATCAAATGTTGATCACTTTCCGATCTAGTTTATCATATTTTTCTAATTCGAATGCACGAAAAAACCCAGAAAAATGAGAAGAAGCGGAAGATGTTAGGCCTAAAAAAGTGTTCTGTATTTACGCTAAACCACGCACGCACCGTAATGCGCGGAATGTCGTTGTTATGAGCGAGGTCGTTGCACTGAGTAGAGGTCGTTCTTGGAAGACGGCCAATGTGTGTGTCCTTGAATAGTAGCCCATGCGGATCGGGAAGTTTGAGCTCAATTATCTCGTTTGCTGGGAAAGACATCGAGAAACTATCTACTGATAAATTATTCACCATAATATCACCAATATTTTATCAGTTTACAAAATTTTGATATCTCTTACAGAAATCGAGATAATTGAGTTGAAAATCAACGGTTTGAGTGGAATTCTATTGGACGGCATAAAACTTGAATTCTCGTATTACTGAAAACCGATTAAAATTAAATAATTTGATAGCCTCTTAGTAATTCATTGAAAACTAGTATGAAAATCATTTTTTTCAACGGAAAATATTTTTTAGAGAATCTGTTTTTTCTGAATAAAAAGCATGAAGCAAAATTTTTAAAAATATGTTCAATTACGTCACGAAAAAAATTACAACCTAATTTTAAGAATAGACGGACAAACAAACATACAGACAGACAAAAAAGAGCTCATACCTAAAAGTAGAAAATATGTATTTCTCATTAATATATTTCTCATTTTTTTCTGAGAAATTTTGAATCTAAATGATGCATATGAAAAGCTTTTTTTCAAAACCTACTTCACAGAAATCGAAGTTTCAGGGGAATTTAAATATCAAAAAAATAGACGGATGCTACAGTCGCCTCAGGCAATTAACCACACTCAATCAAGGTGGCCTTTGCTCAAACAACGACACTCCGCCATTCCGCGTCGCGCGCGAACACTGTTTTCAAATTTTGGTTTGCTGAGCAGCGGTTTTACAGAGCTCGTTTTTAGTTTTTGAAGATAGTTTTGTGTAAGATTTATCCAACTTTCAACGTTTGCTAGTGTAATTTGATTATTGTATTCCATCTAATAGAAGCCCACCCAAAACTTAATATTATAGCTCAATTATTTCGCTTTCTGTGAGAGATATTAAATTTTTGTCAACTGATAATATATTGGTGATACATAGTTTACCAGTTGACACATTTTAGATAACTACTACAGGAATCGAGATAATTAGACTTGGGTTGATGCTTTGGGTGGGCTTCTATTAAAGGGGATACTGTAATTATCGTTTGTTTTGGACAAAAACCCTTGTTCCTTCATATTTCTTGTTATTTTGTCCTTGTTTCGACTCAAACCTGATAATGCATCAAAATACACAGCAAATTTTCTCTTAAATGAGGAAAATGAGAGAACTCAAGTTATTTTTTAAAAATGTTGGAAATTTTTTTCTAGTTCTCTATTTTTTTCTCATTTGAGCTAAAAATAATTCAGTTTCTCTATAAATCTTCTGCATATTTTTTTCAGTGCAACCAAATAAATACAAGTTCATGGATTTTCGATGCCTCCTCACCAGAAGTATAAAGTTTTTCAAATGCCGGTACTTGTAAACAATACTTAGAAACTCTCACATACATTTTCAGAGTTTTCTTCGCTTGCTTCATAATTCTTATTTTCTCAAAGAACCCTTATTATGTAGAAAGCTCGATGTGTTTGATTTGACAAAAAGAAAACCGCCTTTTTGTCTGGTTTTTCAAATAAACAAGGTAATATTCTGAGAAAACTTCAGAATATCTAACAGGTGTGACATCCCCCAACTGAATTTGTTTCCTCTTTATTTTTGAAATATGACATCATCGAAGCACATTGCACATCCAATTGCTAACATTATTGCGGGGCAAGTTGTATTCATGTCAACTCGAGTTTTCTCAGATTTCCCAGGCGCTGAATAATGTCACGTATCCTAAATTGATGCTCTATACGCTCCACATAAACTTTAAACTTGTTTCCCTGACACCTTAGACCTCTCTCCGATTTCTTTTTCTAATGAGATGACTGAATAAATGGAAATCCGAGTGATCTTCCTTTTTTCATAACTTTTTCTTTTTTCTATATTCCATAAATCCCCGTGACCATGAAAGTTCAAACGAATTGAATGGATTTTGCAATAAAACGTGAGGAAAGGAAAGGCAGTGAGAAAATAATAGTAGAACAACGGATTTTCCCATGTTTTTTCAATGATTTCCGTTTCTTTTTTGTTATTGGGACCAAGTGATGCATCTCATCAGAAATAATAAAAAAGGATGCGTCTCTCCTTCACGACGTCAGCAAATTCTGATTATTCGCTTATGCTCCTTTATTTCCTATATCCCACTACACCGGGACTTTGCTCTAATCGAATTTGATGTATAAAGAAAAAAGTACATAGAAAAATGATACATTTGAGGGCTACTAGGTTTGATTCTTGCTGATTTTTGCTGACTGCTGCTGAGAGATTAAGCTTTTCTGGATGAGTAAGATAATAATCTGTGAGTCTTCAAAAAGTAATTATATTAGAAAAAAGGGAAAAATGCCAAGACATGGAAGAAGATTTAGAACGAGAAATACAGCCTTTTTGATATTATAACTCTTCCGAATATCCCATTTTTTCTTATGAAGTATGTTTTTTGTTCCTTCGAAAAACGAACTGATATGGATTTGTGCTGAGCACGGTGAGGATTAACTAGGTGTCTCATGGAAAGAGCCAATGTGCATGTGCCATCCTCAATCTTCCGTTTTCGTAGTTTTCATCAAACGGCTAGTTTGTGGTCTGGGCGAGGCGAGTCATAGTTGTCTTCTTCTTATTCTAAAACTTCAATAATCGGTATCATGGCTGTCTAGAATAATTTAATTCCCCTCAATATTCTAAATTGGATCAGAAATTATTCACTTCTTTGAGCCATTTCCATGGTCGCTTGGATAATTTGGTTTCAAAAAATTTTGTCGTTTCTATAAAATAATGTTAGCTCATTGTTTTCTAAATTCTTGAAGTTTCCGAATTCTCGGAATTGGGTGATTCATTGAAAAAACAAAATCAGTGTTATCTTTTTTTCGTCAATACACAGTTACTATTTATATTTTCTTGAATAGAAGCCAACCCTAGACGCAAACTTGGAGTTCAATTATCTTGGTTTTTTCAAAAGTTATCAAAAAGTGATCAACAGATAAAACGTTGGTGATATTATGATAATCGATTTCTCAGTTAACAAGTTTTTGATATCTGTTACAGATATCAAGATAAGTAAGTTCCAATTGCCCATATATTACTCTGTACATAATAGAAGACCATTTCATACGTGCGCTTTAAGCTTAATTGTCTCGGTTAACATAAGAGGTATCAAAATCTGGTAAACTGATAAAACTTTGGTAATTTCACAACACACATTTTATTAGTTGATAAAATTGTGATATCTGTGAAAGGAACCGAGATAATTGAGCTCAACGCTGACGTTTTGGGTGCGCTTCTATAACACAAAAGAACGGAAGTGGGTTTCAGAAACAGATGGAAAATAACTCATTTACTCAGCTAGAAACTCACCCAAGCCGTCAATTTTGAGCTCAATCATCTCGGCTTTATAAAGAGGTATCAAAATTTTGTAAACTGCTTAACTGTTGGTAATTTTACGAGCAATATTTCATCAGTTGAAAAAACTTTGATATCTTTTACAGGAACCGAGATAATTGAGCTCAAAGTGCATGTATAAAGTGTTCTTCTATTATGTAGAGCAAATGCGGTATCCGCACGTGTACTTTAAGTTCAATTATTTATACGAATATAAGATATATCAAAATTTTGTCAGCTGATAAATTTTTGCAAATTTTACTAGTAACATTTCATCTGTTGACAAATTTTTGTTCTCTTTTCAAGGAACACAGATATGAGGTTTCTACTTTATTTTGATTCAATTATCGAAATCTTATGGATCTTCAAATTAATTTTCAAAAAAGCGAAATTTCCAATTTCATTTTTTGTGCAATTAGCTTATTTTTTCTAGACTTCCGTTTTTTTTCCTCCCCCACATTTTCTTATTTTCCTCATATATACAAATTCGAACAGACGACGTCTTGATGTCCCCTCCTTCTCTTCATAAACTAATTTATTACATCTATCTTCATTGGTTTTTCCTCGTTTTTTTTTTCTGTGCCATCCAGTCATTTTCTTTAAATCATTCATGGCAATTCCAATAAGCTCTTTTCGTTCTTAGAAAAAAAATAGAAAAGATAAATGTGTTTGGAATTTTCCCATAACCTTTCCTTCATAATATTATGGTATTGTCAATTTTATTCCCTTGAATTTAATATTGTCAGTTTTTCCCTGCTGCCGTTCAATACTTCAAATTATTAGAATTCCCCCTCCTTTTGCCAGTTGTCTTGTTTTGCGTCGATTTTTCGAGTCAAGCCCTTCTAATCCAGATTTGTCAGAGAAGAAGACTTGAGGCCTGGATTATTGAGCTGGTAACCAAGTCTCTTTTTATTTAGAGCACTTTGTGGCAATACACGTTGTTGAGATATGTATTTTGGAATACAGAATGATGAACCAACGCCCTCTAAAGTCGTTCGTTCTTAATTTTTTTACCGTCCACTCTGATGTATGCCGTTGATTCATCATGAACTTTAGAAATGTAGTTTTGAAATTCTCAAAAGAGGGTTTACACTTCAAACAAGATTTCTGATTTCAGAATGTGTTCTGTTTTTCAGAAAAATATTTTTTCTCAGAGAAAAAAAATTATTGTTGTTTTTCTCTTTGTTGAATTGTGTTTAGAGCAGGTAGAAATATAGATTTTTACAATGTCAAAGATGTTTTGATTTGTAAAAGTTTTCTAAAACGTTTTTCTTGCAAACGGCAAAAAACTGTTATTTTTGCAAAAAATTTATCAAAAAATTTGCACGTTGTAAAAAAAATCTAAAACAGTTTTTCAACAATTTTTTAACTTTAGAATATTTGAAAATATATAAAAACATTTATTTAAAGTTTTGAGTTTTTTGGGATTTTGACTCATTCTTCAGGATAAAAACCTCTTTAAAAAACCGAATAAAAACAAGTTTAAAGGCATTTTTTTTGAAATTTTGATTTTCTTTCTGGGTTTTATCGGTTTTTAACCTCATTTGAAAAAATTGAAGTTCATCAAAAAAGTCCAACGTTACGTCTACAATTTTATCTTCCTTCTTTTTAGAGATATCGGAAACTTTTTGACTGAAAAAATGCTTGTCATATTATCATTAAATTTTTTTCAGTTTACGAAATTGTGACATCTGTCTCAAAAATCAAGATAATTAAGCTCGAACTGCACATATCGTATTTGCGCTAATATAAGCTCACATTATACGTTAATTGAGCTTATGATACGGTTTCTCATCATTCCTAATTTTTTTATTTTTGTCGAAATGTGCTCTACCGAAGCAATTTCCGATTTTTGATTTTTTTTGGTAAAAAAAAAAGAAAATTGTCTTACGGACAATTATGCTATAAAACATAGATTTTGCGGCAATTTAGAGCACTCGAGAAGCCGATTAGCTTTTCGATTATATACCTCCATAAAATCCTTCCTTGTTGGGTTTGGTCTTTTTTGGGAGTTTGTGGCTTTTCTCCAGCTTGCCTCTCAAATTTGGTGACATCTCTAGGCAAAAAATCCTCCTAAACAACGAAAACGTACTACTAAAATTGTATAGCTGTCAGTAAGTTCTCCCAGATTTGAAAATTATGTATACAATTTTATAAATTGTAGTTCTAATAAATCAGTCTTCTTGACAAGCACCGTTTTTTTTGGGAATCTCCACCCCCCCTCTCCCCCAAACTTTTTCTCATCTATATCATCGTGTTCAAATTTCTTATACACTTGAATTCTTTTCGTTTCCATTTTCGAATTCGAATTCTACCCCTTAAGAGTCCCATAACTCTGAAGTGGCTCGTTAAATTCGAAACTCAACATTTGAAATGGGAAAAAGAGAATGAAACATTTTTTCTCACTTCCCCCTCATCTTTTTTTCAAGTTTTTGATTAAAACACGATGATCTTTTTTTCCCTCATCTTTTTTTCAAGTTTTTGATTAAAACACGATGAGTCCAAAAATTCCCACAATTGAACATTCTCTGTCGTAGAATTCCAAATTGAGTTCGTCTAGAGGTGACGTTCCTTTTTCCATATTTTTTAGAATTTCTTAATAGGTTGGGCAACGCGGAAATGCATATAACATAAAGAATAGCACGGAACAATGATGAGAGGATTGGCTTAAAGTCAAAAAAGAAAACAAAAGCCATTAGGAATCAGTAATCATGAATGAAAAATCATTGATACCGTTTATTATTCCTTTCCCACCATCTTCCTGGCTGTTCTATTCATTATCTCAATTTCTTTTATCTTTAAAAACTTATATCTCTACTCTTATTAAAAAATATCTAGTGGCGTCAGATCCCAACGAGTCACTCGGCTCAGCCGAACGACTTTTGTCTTCCATTGCTCGATGAGTTTTCAATAATCCACCCCGAAAATCTGCGGATTCTGTTAATTTCCTGAAATCACATGTAAATCCGATGTGAAAACAGAATTTTCCATTTCTTCTGATATTATTATTTGTCGAGATAGCAGAAGTCCTTTTAGATAAAAAGGAACACGTCCTCTTCTGGACAACCCAAACTTAATTTATTTTCTTTCAACTTCCTCTGCCTTAGAAGCCTAAACTAATTTCCGGATGTTTCTGACTTTTTTCTTTTTTACCTCACGTCTTCCTGGAATTTGCCTGGAATATTTTCCCAAAGTGCACACTTCAACGGACATGGACAAACCCTTTTGTTTGGAATTGCTGAGAATGACACAAGTTTTGTAGCTGTTGCTGCTGCTGCCCCCCGCACCCTTTTTTGTTTCTTTTTTTAGACCGTGAGAAAAAAAAGAAAAAAAAAAACGAAAATTTGATTTTGAAGACGTATCCCCATAGCAACAAATGGACATTTTCCATGAAACCAATTTTACACAGGCCTTCCTTTTTTTGATTTTGGTGACTCCAAGCTTCTTATTCTCTTGCTTTTCGTTTTTTTAAAAGTATATCCTTTCTCATTGAGCATACTGTACTCTGACTAACAGAAAAGAACAATTAGAATCTAGGCCGTTGAATATATATATATATATATATTCTTAGGCTACGGAGTTATTTTAATACGAATATCACGAATAAAAATGATTACGGTAGAAATGAGAGAATTTCAATCCAAATTTCAAAAATTCCACATACATTATCCCAGCAGAATATTTCCCAAGCTTTTGTTTCCAAAGTTCCACTGAAAGTTCCGAAATTCCATAAATCGTAAAATTCAGAAACTCGCAAACTCTAATATTCTCAGTTTTTCTAAATCGGAATTTTCGACATTCCCAAAAACCCTTGAAGTATCTAAAAAATCCTTACTGTTCAACATACAAATTTGTTGATTAAATAGTTTTTATCGGATCCAGAAACTCTATGAATTTTTCATATTTTGATCTCTATGACCCGCTCTGGCCAACTAAAAAATCAAGATTACGTTCCTGGTTCTGAAAAGTTTTCGAGACAAATTTCCGGCTCAAAATCCTGATGTATTTCCTTCCCTTTTGTTCGTGCTACTTCCGATGAACTTCCCAATCAAATTCTGTCTGAAACTTGAATCACATCTGTCTATGGATTTGAAGCTTCGATTAAGAATCGTATGTGTATGTATCACAGTTTTTCCTCCCTGAACTTTAAAAAACAATCTTCATTTTTATGTTTCCGGTCCCGCCTCTTTCTGAATTTCCTTCCGCACTACTTCCGTGGAACTTCAATAATCAGCATACCGTAAAACCTGTATTAGTAGGGCCCCTTTAATAGAAGGGCCCTCCGAAAGGGGCTTTGAAAAATAGAAGGGACCCCTGTAATAGAAGGGCCCCCGTAATAGAAGGGCTCTCTGTGAAAAAGACACCCCTTGAAAATGGAACTAAAAAATTTCCGTACGTTTTCAATGAAAAATGTTCCTAAAAATTAAAAATTTGATAGAAATTTGTTGAAAAACAATTTTTGATGAAAAACTTGTTCAGTTTTGATGAAATTGATAGATTTTCATAAATTTCCGAGCCGGCCCTTCTAATACAGGCTTTACGGTTAAATAGAATTTGAGTTTTGTATCTCTTGCAAAATTGTCCATTAGCATATTCACCATCGTTCGCCTAGAGGACAAGTTGTTTCCAGAAAGGTTTTCTCTTTTTCTCTATATTTTTTAAAGAAGCTCATTTTGCATTCAAATATCCATCAATCCTTGCTGTCCCCCTTTTCCCACCGACCACCGAGCACCTTTTTCCCCTTGTTCCTTTTTCTTTTCACCTCTCCCCACGCGCATGAGTTCATTTTTTGATTGGATGTTTCCTCACTTCCAGAAGGTTGTGTTTCATCATCGGGTAAAGATGACCAATGTGTGCCCAAACCCTCCAACATCTTGGGCTCTGCTTTTCGATGGACCGGTATCGTTTGTTGTGATCCTAGTTGGAATCATTGGAAATCTTTATTCGCTGAAACAGCTGTTCTCCCGATCCATCAACACATCGATGCTGGTTTCCCTCACAGGTCTTGCTATTTTAGACATTGTGGGTTTTACTTTCCATTCGTGTTTTTGAGAAAAAGTGTTTTCAGATTATGCTTGGAGCCGGCATGTGGCACCATTCCTGGTGGGCAACTATGCAATACTTTGGATTCCGAGATGAGCCTTGGGACATGCATATGGCTTACACAAATGCTGTAATGGAGTGTGGACATATTACATCTGTAAGGAATACTGTGAAGCCTCAAACAAACTCTTGAATTTCAGACTTGGATGCTCATTGAGGTGACCGCCGAACGATTCTTCGCAGTAACACGTCCATTCCACTTTGCTCCAGTTCATCGTAAGCAACGAAGGAAAAGCTACGCTCGGGTTGTCGGAGGTGAAGGAATTTTGAGATTACTTTGTCTTATCGTGAAGTTTATAGGCTTGATTCGGATACCGCTGATGATGACACTGGTTGGATGTCTTATATGCATTCCATGCACCGTTGAGTATGATTTGGCGCCGTGCGTCTACAAAGGAATCGCGTCGGAACAGGTTCACATAGATAGAACAATGTTATTCAAAATTTTTTTATTTAGATGCTTGAAACGGCGCTGATGCAGAACAAGTGGTACAAGATGCTCTATCGCACAATTTTTCTGTCAATTGTGAAAACTTTTGGACCATTCGTTATTATCACATTGCTCACGATTTCTACGTTGAAGAGCATGAGAAAGAGTATGGATAGCCGTGCGTCGATTTTAATTGCTCAAGGACAGAATCATTTGTTTCAAGCTGATAAGGACAAGACAAAAAGCTTACAGGTGCGTGGGGTTTAGAAAGTAATGAAAGATTTTGGAAAAACTTCAAGGTGATGCCAATAAGATAAAACTTTGGAATTGATTTAGCAGCCGAATATTCCTACCGTAAATACTCTGATAGAAGCCAACCAAATACAGACACTTTGAGCTTAATTATCACGGTTTTTTCAAAAGATATAGAAAAGTTGTAAACTGATAAAATGGGGATGGTTTAACGATATACTTTTATTAGTTGACAAACTTTTGAGACCTTTTATGAAAACCGAGATTGATTGAGCACAAAGTACATGGCTTATATTAAAGCAAATACGGTAACTTCCATCACTTTTCGAATAGAATTTAATTGTCAAATCATAACGACACAACTCACAAAGCTACTACTCTAGTAATTGAAACATATTCGAAATTCATCCCTGTTTTCTACCACACAACCTTTAATGGAAGGGCAACATTAATAGTGTGCCTTCTCATTCCACGTTTTATTGTAATTATTTTACAGTAAATCAGTTTTCCCACTAGAGTTAATATATTATCACGCTAGTCTAACAATCTATATTTTTACAAATCAATGAACAATCACAGGCAATTTCCGTAATGCTGCTTGGCAAGTTCCTCTTCCTCCGCTGCCTTCCAACCGCCATGGCCACTATTCAGGTACAACTACAGTAGCCACTCCTCCCTATCTCATATTTTCTTATTCCAGATGGTTTTCCAAATGATGATTCCATTTTCAAACACTCCAAATTTTTTGCCAACCTACCTGAACCACTTCTTCCTTCTCTTCAACTCCGCCACAAACTCCTTCGTATTCGTTGTAGTCAAATCGGCTTTTGAGACTAGAAGGTTGGTTGTACTGATGTGTGAGATAATCAGTATCAAGAATGTTTAAGGCTCAAACGAATCCGTCAACGGCATCGTCAACTGGTCGCTCAACACGCCGAACAAGTGCTTTGTATCGGAAAAGCGTTGGCTGGAGATAAGTTGTTGCTGATGTCCGAAGTCGAATTCGAGAATCAATCATCGGAGGAGGACACCACACTCGAAATGCAGCCAATGATGCCAGCGACATCAGCGTCCACTTCTAATCCGGTTTAAGAGAACTTTCTTCCTTTTTTTAATGCCATTCTTTTTGAAACTTGTAATTTATTTATTTTCGGTATATTTTGGTCTCGCATTTCGAATTTTAGCTAGTGCACAACCGTTTCAGGTTTTTAGACTTGGAAAATTTCCAATCAATTATTTTTTATGAATTTGAATTTGAATTTTGAATAAATCTATTTTAAAAGGTAGAGAGACATAAAACTTTACAGGGTTTTTTTTTAATTACAGCATATATTTTGAAGTGACGGTGAACAGTGATAAACGTTCACACAGTATGTGGCTACTGTGCCAACGCATTTTTTCATTGAATTTTGGTCATTTTCAGGAGCCTCGATCTCGGCTGTCAAATTGCCTATCATTTTGAGATTTTAAGAGGGTGTAAAACAAACCCAGATTGAAAACTCTGCATTCATAGAATTTTTTGGAAATCCCTAGTTTTCCAGCTATTGGACGATTTTTAAAAGACACCTGTTTTTACACAATTTCAGCGCAAAAGGCCAAAAAAAGAGTATTTTCCAAAAATCAACAAGTAGCTGAAACACTAAAAACAGGAAAATTAAAAAAATGAAACAAATTTTGAGAAATTCATTTTTTCATGTCTCCCATTCTTTATTCTAGCAAAAAAATTATGTGAAAGAAAGTTGAAAGCGACGACAAATTTTCAGAAATCATATAAATCATATTTTACCGATAAAAGCTTTATTTGTGGATCCATTTTTTCCTCATCACCTTCTTGATGTATTCCATTGGAAATGGCAACACTATTGTGTGATTATCAATCGCCGATATTCTGACAAGTGTCTGAAGCAGCCGAAGGTGTATAGCTGTTGGTGAACCTGCTAGTTCGTTTGCAGCTTCATGATATGCCAGAGATGCCTGTAATTTTGAAAATTCATATGGAATTTTAAACATCCTTGTTATATGTTGTCACTTACATCAAGTTCTCCTTGAGCTATCACAATTTTTGCATCACTTTCTCTTTGTGCTTCAGCTTCAGCCGCCATCGCACGACACATGTCTCTAGGTAACTTCAAGTCCTTGATTTCTACTCGCTCTACATGAATCCCCCAGAACAGTGTGGCTGAAAGAATTGCTCAAAAAACTCAAAATCATAAGATAAATAAGTTTTTACTTACCACTATCCAGAATATGCTTAACTTGTATTGCAATCCCATGACGATCTGTCATGAGCTCTTCTAGTGATCGTGTGCCTAATACATTCCTTAACGACGATTGCGCCAACTGACGAGTCGACATATGAGCATCATTTACCCGTGATAAACTGGCAATTGGATCACTGAAAAATTGAAGTCATACTGTCAAATGACTGCTTTTTCATTTACCTAGTTCGGTAATACACGGCGGCATCTACGCCAATGGTAACACTGTCTCTTGTCAACATCTCTTGAGTAGGAACGTCATAAGACATCACTCTGTAAGCGGATATAGTGATTATTTCAAAATGTCGGGTTTAGCATTATAGGGGTTACCTCAAGTCGACGGTTTTGTGAACGTCAATAAATGGTAGTACGAGCACGAGCCCAGGACCTTTCGGATTGTCGTGCCAGAGTCTTCCCAGGCGGAATATTACCTGCAAGTCGCAAGAAGTAAATGAATTTTTAAGAAACGGAAGATTAAAATTGTGATAAACCAAAAAGGTTCTACAAACCCTGAATAAAGTTGGAGTTCTGAAAAATTCAAAATTCCCCTTTTCCAAATGTTTGGTTTGAAAAAAATTTCTATTCTTTGTTCAAAATATTTTTCAAAAAAGTAATTGTCGCCGGAAAATTATTTCTCTACTCTTATCAAATTTTCCACTGTTAAAGGGGTTCAGACCTTCAGGGTTGCAAAAAAAAGAAGTTTGCTATTAAAAAGTTTCGGTATTTGTAGTTTCGAAAACTTAAATTCGGAAATTGTGAATTTCAAATATTTCGGAATATTGAATTCTAGAAATTCAGAAGTTTTCAAACTCTTGATGTTGTATTTAAATGCAGAAATCCAGATATTCAGAAGTGTTTGGGAAGAATTTGCAAATTCAGAAAGTTCAAATTCAAAGATTTAGATGTTCAGAAATTAAGGAATTTCCAAATTCGCAAATTTTTGAAATCGCAACACTTTGGAGCTTTCGATATAGTTATTTGAGAAAAATTCTCAACTTCCGTTTCTCTGATTCTGAATTAAAAATTTCTTTTTATGGAATTTCCGATAGTTTGAAGTTTCTGAAATTCTGATATTCTGAACTCCTAACTTTTGGAGATTCTGATTCTCCTAATTAATTAAAGAGGTTCTGTAAAAATTGAAGTATTTGATATCAGATTTTTGGAAATACTTGAATTGAAAATCTGATACTCTCGGATGTGTGAAAATCGGAAACTTGAAGATTTGAGAGCTCTACTGTTCAGTAGTCCATAAAATTAGAGATTCAGATTCTTGATAATTCGGGAATTCTGAAAGTGAAAAAAGTCAGTTTGGAGATTCGGAAATTTTGAAATTTCAGAAGTCTAAATTCTTCTACATTACGAAACTTCGAAGTTTCACTTTTAAAAATTTGTATATCAAAATCTCAGTAACCCAGAAAATTAAACAGTTGTAACAACTCTGGGAACCACATAGTTGTTCTAAAAATAGTTCGAATAAAAACTCACCATACGATTATATTCCTTCACCATTTTGATACAGAAAAACGCGGAAATCGGGAATGTGACAACCAAAAAAGTCCATGCCAATATCATCGCAATGAAGTCGACGAGTGTGGGTGTATAGAAACCTCGATATCCTCTGCCATCCATAGGAATTCCCAATTAGAAAAAAGGAAAAAAATTGGTGAGAAGGTGCTCCGAATCGTCTTCTCTCCTTGATAGTTCACACGCTTTGACTGGAACAATCGCGGAATAAATAGAAAAAGGCGAGAGTAAATGGAGGAATCTTCACGCTGGTCCAATAATAAATTGATGTGGACCGAGGCGTTTTTTTTTGGAAGAAGAAAGTGAAAAGCAACGGGAAAAAAGTGCTTTAGGTTTATGTGTCTCTGCAAAAAGGAAACAAAACAAGCTACAGCCAAAAAGTAATAATTTGATGAGGAAAGAAGTTGTGAAGAGTCAGAATGTTGCCCTCAGGCTGAATACACACGTTCAGGCTTCCGAGGAGGTTTTAACTGGCGAGAAGATGGAAGAGACAAATTTTTATGTTATTTTCTTCTACTCATAAAACGTTCTGTACTTTTTCATAAAACAAAAAGTGCTTGGAAACCAAAAAAAAAAAGGGAAAAGAGTGAAGTGGATCGCTAGCGAGCCAATTTAATGGATGGACCCCTTTTAGTGACTAAGACGCAGCCATCCCTCTCATTTTCTTTCCGAGAATGAAGATGAAAAAATCCCACTCCTAAAAAAAGACAATTTCGAAAAAAAAGTGGAAGAGAGAGAGAGAGAGAAAAGGAAGAATGAGCATTTCCTGGGGCGTGTATCAGCAGCCCGACGTTCGGAATGTTTGGGAAGTTTGTTTTCATATTAGGTGGGGCGGCTCGTGTTCACCGGAAACACTTTTGCTACGACCGATGATGAAATAATAAGAGTCTTTCGTTGTAGGTAGCCCCTCTTCAGTTGTCTTTTCCCCTTCCACCTGGAAACCAACACTATTTAGAAGATTTCAGAGAATTTCACAATTTATGAAAGATTTAGAAAAATATTTGGAAAGACGTAATACAAAGAGAATCAGAGGTAAAACAGAAGCGAATTATTGACAGCGAAAAAAATTGAAATTTACAAAATTAGCGGTACAGTAGTACATAATGTGCGGGTCAATTAGATATACAACAACTCATTTCTCAGTTGGGTTTCAGCCATTTTGAACATTTTCAAAAGTATAGAGCTGACAAGTTTTCGATCAGTTTAAAAATTCTAAAGGATGTAAAACAGACCTAGACCAAAAACTTTGCATTCACAGAATTTTTTTAAAATTTCAAGTTTTCCAGCTATTTGCTAATTTCTAAAAGACACCTGTTTTTCACATTTTCAGAACAAAAACTAGCTGGAACAAGGACATCGGGCTAAAACAGAGAAATAATCTTTCAGTAATCGTGAAATATCTGAAAAAGTCGAAATTTTCAAAATACTCTGTGAATGCAGAATATTCAATTTAGTTCTGTTTTACACCCTTCAAAATTTTCAAAGAGGTCGCGAACTTGACAGCCGAGCTCCAGACTACTGAAAATGATCAAAATCAACTGAAAAAGGCGTTTCTGTATGTCTTATAGGCCTGTATTCTATGTAGTTATAACTCTTCCGGTATGGACGAATCAGAAATTACAGATCTTGAGAACGACCGCTCGGAAACTGTGCCTCGTATGGAATTTGTTGGGGTGGCAAGAGAACGACAGTCCTGAAAAAATCGGAAAATTTTAGGATTAATTTCTTAAATTCCTTACTTGCAGACGAACATCCAATTCAGCTATGAGTCGTCTAACTTCAGTGGTGTGAACTACGGAACTCTGAAATATTAAGGGTTGAAAAAATATCTGAATAAATGAGGAGGTGTCACCATAGGTCGGGTGTACATATAGGGTACAACAAGTCCACGCGGATAGCCACGTTGGTTCTGAAATGAGGTAATTCATTGGATTTCGTGGTCTCAAAAAGCAATAAATCCTTTTTTAGAAAGTGTCGTATATACTGTATATTTACCCTATTCGTCGCTACAAAAGTCCACCTCCTACTCGGATCAAAATCCACAAACGGTGGTTGACGACTAGGACTAGCCGCCGGTGCTGATTTTGCAGAGCTCGCTGCTGACGGAGCTGATGCTCTGGATCCTGGAGAAGACGATGGAATTGTAGAGCTTGGTCGGTGTGAAGAAGGATAAGAAGACGGGTTCACGGACGACGATGAGCACAAAGAGGCCTCGGCAAGCGCTACAACAGGTCGGCTCTCACATCGAGACGGCCCACAAATCGGACCATCTGGGATTAGAAGCAGATGGTGGTGGGCTGAAAATAATCTCAATTTACCAACAACCTCATCAATCATTTTACATTTGTCGGAGATGACCGAATTGCGGAAATCTGTAACACAGCTATCTACATCACTGGTTTCGGTGTAGGCTTCCTCACAGTGTGGGTAACCGAAATCCGTCTGAGTACTTTTCTCCTTTCTTTGCAGCTTCTTCTGAAGCTCTGCTATCAAGTGCTGACGTTCTCTTTTCCTAGAGAATGGAAGCATCTGGAATATCTTCTCTCCCATGAACGGATTTTCCCTTATTTAAACAAATACAAACCTTCACAAAATTCTCGCTGGCTTTATTCGCCGCTTGCCGTGCCCCCTTGGCTTTCTCCAACCCATCACCCAGCTTTCCTCGCCTCTTCTTCCAAGCTCGCCACATCTCTCGGGCGCCTACAAAACAGAGAGACATTATTCTTCATCACATGCACTAGGACCATTCTTTTTCTCTTTTTCTTTTTCTGGGATTTCTCTCTCTCTCCTCGCATTAATATGGCCTTTTTCTCACTCACCAATAGTACCAGCTTTTAAATGAGTGCCATCCGGATCGGCATTGAGTTCTTCCATAAGAGTGAGAAGGAGCTCCTGATGAGAAGGGATTTAGGGTGTTTTTGGGGAAAAGGGGGAAAGTAAAAAAAATGGAATACCTCGAAAAGCTTCTCGAGCTTAAGTTGAATGACATTAATGCACATGGATACTAATGACAGACCAATTATAATTAATCCAAAAATGATGAACATATCTTCACTATTTGTAGGTGTTACGTCACCTGAATATTATTAAAATTTTCAAGGTTTTTTTTCGATGTTTCAGCGGGATAGACTTCAAGTTACAGTATTTGCTCGCTAAGATGTAGACGCTATATGTGGACTTTGAGCTCGATTATCTGGGTTCCTATAAGAGATATCTGAAATCTGTCAACTGATATAATATTGGTCACATCACGACTAACAATTTATTAGTTTACAACATATTGATATATTGCAAAGGAACCGAGATAATTGAGCTTCAAGTGTATATATAACATGGGCTTCTACTGGAGCAAATGACTGTGCATTTAAAACTCAATTATCTCGATTTTTGTGAGAGATATAGCAATTTTGTCAATTAGACAAATGTCAGTGATAATATGACAAACATTTTATCAGCTAACAAAATTTTAAAATCTCTCATAGAAATCGAGATAATTGAGCTCAAAGTTACGGTAAACACCAAATCTGACACCAACCATATCCTATTGTAGTCAACGAACAGAAGAAAAAATAAAAGCTTTTAAAATAATCCCAATCCTTCTCAAATCTCAGGAAAATGGCTGCACACAAAAACATCCATCCGAACGCGACACCTGTATCAATCATTAATAACTTCATGAATTTCTAAGCCTAACATACCAATAGCCAAAATAAGAGGCATTTCAGAAATCCGATCCTCACTCGTGTTCCGCACCCGCTTGGTACCCGATCCAACGCAGAAACTGTCGGTGATTCTTGAAACGTTAAAATCGATAAGAGAAAAATTAAGAGCCACCAACCTCAAAATAAAATCCCACACGTGCTCCAACCCCATTAAAAATAATCGACCTGATTTGTGAAGTATCATGAGGACGAGCGGGATGCCGATGACAGCATAAACCATTGCTGCCAGTTTGCCAAGTTTTGTTTTGGCTGTTATGTTTCCATATCCTATTGTGGTATATGTGGTGACTGAAAAAAAGGGGCCGGCTGTCTTCAAAAAATGGCGGAAAATTTGAAATTTCAACTTAAAAATGTTTCGAGGAAATGTTTGAAGTCCAAATATTCTTTGAATACTAAGCATAATACAGCAAACTTTATGTTCTGAAACGTCCCAGACATTGTTTTCCACTAAAAACCCAATTTCTGGTACTGAAACTGATATACCGTAAAACCTGTAATAGAAGGGACCCTTTAAACTTTTAACTTTGAGCTAATTTTACTTTTTTGTCAACTGATAAATTGTTTATCATAATATCAGAAATGTTTCATCAGTTGATTTTTTTTGATATCTTTCACAGCAAATGTATGTGCTTTAAGTTGACAATTTTGGCCCTTCTATTACAGGTTTTACGGGCACTCGGCTGAAACTGGCTATCCGATTCAAAATTTTTCAGAAAACTCTTTAAATGTTCTTCTTAACCTAAACCTTATATTTTGTTCAAAATCTGGTTCACAAAGTGATAAGGTTCGACGGTAAAACAAAAATCGATATTTACCTGCCAAAAACATTGCATTCCAAAACGTCCACACCGGCGTCAGCACATGTCCCAAACCAACGGAATTGTTATACTCCTCAACACTTTGGTTAACCTTAAAAATCCAAACCTGATCTTTTTTTTTCCAAAATCCATGAACACACCATAAGACTATAATTGTACCTAGTCCACCCTAAATTTGCGCCCTCTACTCCGAGCTCCCAACATCGGAGACATAACTGAAATCATAGAAAACAGTAGGCGTCAGAAATTCTACAAAATCTTGTTTTATACCTGCTCTGTATAATTTTTCAGAGCTCTTATTCTCCCGAAATTGCTCTCAAAATGCCTTTTCCACAATTGCTCAGGATTTTTCGGACGGAGAGCTACAACTTTGTGCATTTCGTGCTCTGTCAGATAGAATGTAGAGAGGGTGTACCAGTAGACACTCTAAAATTTAAAAACAAATTTTTGGGATTCTTGAAACCCTGGCAAACTTTGTGAATCTGATTCAAGGCAAACTTCCGATACCCTCGATAGTGTAACATCAACAAGTATGTGTTATTGGCATACGCCCTGTTGAAATCAATCAACCGGTTATGAATCTGCAGGAGAACTTCCACCAAATCATCTGTCAACGCTGCGATGTAATTCCTCTGAAATCATCTTTCTTGTTATTTATCATTTCAGATGCCTTATCACCTTATCAGCTAACATTATTTCTTCATTCGGTCGTTCAATTGACCAAAATATAAGGCCACCAAGGACAGAATATGCAATTAAAAGAACAATAGGAACTATGTAGTGAACACGAGACTTGTCATAAATGATCTGAAAAGGCTTTGGAAAATAAGAGTGTTTTAAAACTGCTGAAATTTTGGATTACCTGGAGAAGTGACACAAATCGTTTCAATTTGGAGGGGCGGTTTTTGCTGGATGCACGCTTCCTCTTCTTTTTGAAAGCATGACTCCAAATGCTCTCATGGAGCAGAAGATGCTGAATAAGATTAATTTCGTAATCAGAATTTTAAAATAGAAGTTTCGGGGAAAATACAAAAATCATCATTTTCATTGAGTACCCAAAAGTATGTAACAACGAAGTCATCCAACTTTTAATTTTACACCAATTTTTCTCGGTTTCTGTCAAGGATATAAAAAAAAGATGGCAACTAATGTGTTGTTCACCATTACCGTATTTTCTCTAATAGAGGCCCACCTTTAATTGAAGCCCACCTCTAATAGAAGCCCACCTTCCGATGTGCTTAAAATCATGAAAGCAGAACCTCTAACAGAAGTTCATGCAGTTCAGTTAGTGCAGTCCGTATAGTGTAGTTCGTCTATTTGGTTATTGCAACCACTGTCTTTTTTTTTAAAAAATATTTCGGTGATTTCAGTTTTTGGTCATTTTCTGAGAAGGTGGTTGAAAAATAGAAGCCCATGGGCTTCAATTAGAGGAAATACAGTATATCCGAAGTGTTTTGTCAGTTAACACTGTTTTATTTCTCGCACAGACAATAAGATAATTCAGCTCAAAGTTTTCAGTTTGAAGGATTATCTATCAGATTATTTACTTTTTACAGTAAATGGGACCTCAGAAGTAGATGAAAGTAGGAACAAAACCTTCTTGGTGATGTTCACATTTCCTTAATAAGAGAATTGTATATCCTAGGCAAACTTTTGAATCGTAATGAGTTGAAAAAGCTATAAAATTGATTACACTTGAAAAAATTTCACAAAAATTCATACTTCTAATTCGGGCCTTTCTCGGGCCTTTGCGGGCCCTGCCAGTGTTTTTTTTCAGGAATATTATTTTCAGACCAACTAAATTAAATATGATAGAGATCGACGAGTACTACAAAATGATACTATCTCGAGAACTGTATCTTGTTTGCAAACAAAGTTACAGGCGAAGAAGAGCGAAAAAAGCAGCCCGTCCCGGCTCGGCACATCCGGAAAAAACCCCTTCATGGCCTGTAACTTTGTTCGCAGAGAAGATACAATATTTCGCAAAATATTATTGTATAGTACTCGTCGAGCTCTATCATATCCACTTTAGTTGGTCTAAACATTTCGATTCTGTAAGAAACTATGGCAGGGCCCGCGAAGGGCCGGGAAAGGCCCGGATTACAAGTATGCAAAAATGAGTTTCTGAATTTTAATCATAGGTAGTGGACACCAAAAAGGTTAACTCAGTTTATCATAATTCAATAATAGGATAAATATATTGAAAAGCGAACAATTTTCAAAATCGTTGGCAGAATTTTAAATAAATTGAGGCGAAATTTTAAAGATTTTTTAAACAGAATTTACAACAAATGAACATTTTGTATTTTCTCTAATAGAAGTCCTGGCAACTTTGAAACCAATCATCTCGATTCCTTTGAGAGATATCAAACATTTGTTTGCTGATTAACTATTTATCACAATATCACCAATAATTTATCAGTTGACAAGTGTTTCATACCTTTTTGAAGAATTCAGATGATTGAGCTCAAAGTTGACGCTTTGGGCGATCTTCTATTAGAGGAAATACGGTTACCTGCATAGCATTCTCATCTACAATCGTGTCTCTCCGCACAATCGGATAATTATTCAACAGTTGCGAGGCGGGACCATTCATTTCGGAATCTTCAACTAAAATAATGGGCGGCGCTGGGGCATTTCCATCAGGCACCGAAAAAGTCACTTGTTTTTTCTTACCTGACGTTATATCTGAAACTCTCTCTTGAGGGAAACAAGAAAACACAAAGGTCAAAAAGGCACTTTCAAAGATTGAAACAGAAAGAGTGCAACTGGCACAAAAAGGACATAAAATTGTTTACTTTATAAGAGCGTAGCTGGAAGAAGAAAAAACTGCTCTCTTCTTGCCAAAATCATAATCATATACAATACCCATAGTGGGGCTAGAAAAACGGAGGAAATGAATGGAAAAGACATTTTCTGGGGCAAAAAGAGTCGATGGTGTGAAAACCAATGGCCCCGCGAGGAGAGCCCTGGAATTGTGCTCTATTAATTATATTTGGGGGGCCCCGTCTTTTATTTTTCAATGTATCGTTGGCGTTGTCTCGTTATACACACTCAAGTGGAGAAAGATTCATTGGAGAAGGAAGATAATCATTGACTAAAGAAATATAACTGAAGATGAGAAAATATGAAAATGGAGCAAATTCTTCAACCAGTTGTTCTCCTCATTGCTCATTGACACTGGCAAGTGGAATCGAGGCACACTCCTGAAACTGGCTAGATGTGAGGCCAACCACAACGCACATCTGGTTTACAACCGCGAAAAAATACTAGGTCATAACTCACCTGAACCTCTGTGCAGATTCTACGAGGATCGTATTTTTCAGGTTGCATGTCATTGTAAATTGTGAGCAGGTGAGCCTTGGAGAATTTGAGACAGCTTCTTTTATACTGAAATTTTTTGTAAATTAGACAGCATTTATCGAACAGGCATAATAAACGTTTCTGGAAGCCTTTGAAAAATTTCTTTTTCCTAATCATTGAGCTATTTGCTTTTTTTTTTGTTCAAAACCTGTTTATTTCCTTTTCAGAAATCAGCAAATAGTTGGAAAACTATAAATTCTCTAAATGTTTTTTGAATTCATAGTTATCAATTTAGCTGTGTTATAAATTTTCCAACGTTTCCAAACTGATTGGAAATTTGACATCCGAGCAACAAACCCTGAAAATAGTGCAAATGATCAGAAATGATCAGAAAAATATCATAGTTGCAAAAGGCTGGCCCCGGGCCGGCCCGCCTGCCACAGTTGAAAATTTCCTAATGAAAATTTTGCTAATTTTTAAAAAGAAAAAATGTTACATTAGTTAACATAATTAACAAAGTAGAAAGTAGTCGAAAAATAGGTCGTTTTTGTTTAAAGTTTTGAAAAAATTCCAGAAATTTCGAAAAAAAATTCAACAAAATCAACGTATGTACGTACCCCTATGAAAAATACATTTTACAATATTTTTTTGACCGGTACTGTACCAGAAATTTCAAATTTTGAGAGACATACCTCAGGATACCGTTTACATGTGTGCGTCAACTTGCTCCCTAACAAACGTTTACTACGGACACTTTTTCTCAATTGACCATAAACACACTGAAGAACTTTAACACAGTAATCACAATTCTGCATTCGTAATCCATGCACTTCCTGAAAAAAAAAACCGTTTTTCTAAGTGTGAAAATACATACACCTGAATTAGAACACCACAAATTAGGAACACCAAGAAGATAGTGATCCTCATCGCGAAAAGAGTAGAAGGGGAACCGGTTTGATTTCTGTAAATTTCAGAAATGACATTTATAAATAGTAGTGTTTTATGTATATTAATACGACAGTGAAAAAGGCATACGTACGATTGACATGTGGGGGCAAACGGTGTGGTACTTTTCGACACTAAAATTTGAACATAAAACTTTCAAAAAGAGGAACATAAAAAATAGTTTTATGCGATTTTTTGTTCGCGAAAAAGGTGATTTTTGCGATGGATTGTAGCAACAATGATAATATTCATGTGGAACAATGACAATATTAACATTTTGAATAAAATTATTATCAGTGGAGCTAAAACTAATAATTATCAGTGGAGCTAAAACTAATAATGAATGACTCACAGAACAGATCTGATCCAAGAGCATTCTTTGGAAAAAGTATCAAAAACTTTTAGATTTCTGGCGTCAACAAAATGGGAATGAGGTATTTTTTTTTGGAAATAGTGATCGTAGAATAAATTTAAAAAAAACAAAAAAATGGCAATCAATTTTTCAGCTGAAATTCCTGGTCGGAATGATAATTGGTTCAGAGTAGAAACGCAATTTTGAAGGAAGTATTAGGTTGGTGCATAAGTTTCTTTCGATTTTGGCAAAATTTTGATGGAATTTTTCTCGAAGCGGAGGGGATTAGATCAACGAATGTAACGTCCATGACTATTGATAGTTGTCTGGTAACGCACTGGTAATTTTTTGATTCCATCGGCTCAGAACGAGGAGGGCTGCGATTGAAAACGTGGGTAAACTCCATTTTTATGTGATCTTTTCACTCGGAGTCTTTTCTATCAAGATGATGTCAAAGAGATCCAAACAACTATTCATTCAGAAGGGTAAGGCCCGGAAAATTCGATGGGTGCAAAAAAAAAAGTCCAGCCAAACGACATGAGTTTTTGGCAGATGCCTCTGGTGACAGGCATTATCGCACTGTCGTGTTGGAAGCAAAGGCATTATCGCACTGTCGTGTTGGAAGCAAAATGAATTATATATGGCGGTCATTATATTGGTACATTCATCTAAAAGTTCCCAGTTTCCACTTCTTTGACATACCATCAAACACGTAACATACCCATTTTTAAGGGAAATTTAAATTCCGGGACGTCCAGAGCTAGCTATTATATACTTTGTCAATCAATTGGCTTTTTCGCACATTGATAGAGTAGCTTACCCGCTTATCATCTACAGTAATTAGGTCAGCAACCCACCTAAATGTGGAAAAATGATAATAGAAACATGCTCATGTCTATCCGGCGATCCATATCATAGTTCTTCAAAACATGATGTACGAATCGACCCAGTTCTTGTAGTTGCCAAGAGACTTCGATCCGTTCACCATATTTGGTTGACTTACGGGTAATGCCTGTGACATTTTACGAGTGGTTTGAAATGGATCCGGCCCGGTGCTTGATGGTGAGAGTAGTAAGATATCTCTCTTCATTAAATTCATTAATTTTCTTGGGGATAACATGCTTTTTTAAAGCACAAAGGGATAAACTAAAAATAAACTGAACATTCGAAAATTTTGACAGTGAGGAACGAAAGAAAGCAGCTTGCTTGCAAACGACAAAAAGTAGGAATGAAGCAAAATATGTAAATTATGTCCGTGAGATACTCTATCCAACAAAAAAACATTCGCCAAGGAAAACCATCCCACTGACTAGATATTTTTCAAAGTTGACCGTACAAAATCGAAATAAACTTGTGCACCAACCTAATATCTTTTGCTTTTGAGTCTTTTTTTTCAACTTTTAGATGTTGCCCTATTCCTTTCCAGTCCCGAAGTTTTAAAGTTGTCAGCCACACTTTTGAAACTATTATCTGAAATTTTCGGTGTTTTAACTTCTCCTTGAAACCGAATATGACAATGTTTTAAGATTTGTGACCACAAGATTACCTCATTAAATTATGTTCATTGCAATTTTGATTGTTTTTGGGGGTGACAGGAAATCAATGAATTCTGTTATTAATAAATATTGATATGTTTTGTTTATTGTCGTTTTTCCTAGATTTCTAATTTTTAGATTTCCGCCTGGCAATTCCAATATTGCATATTCCGCCTAGTCAATGCGTGTTTATATCCAAAGTAATAAAAACCACTCCATCATTCCCATTTTCAAAGAATTTATCTTCTTTCAAAATCTCTCGTTGTTTTTTCTCGTCTCTCCAATTCGACAACAGGCACACAGAAATGCTCTCTCTAAACAATAGGTAGAACGGAAGAAACTGATGACAATCTTGGCCAAAAAAGAAGAATTGAAGCCTATTTCTAAACAACTTTCTTCTTTTCTTTCCTCTTTTTTCCTCTATCGAAACTTACTCCACAATTTGGACCGAGATATGTGAAAAGGGGAAGAGTTTAGAGCTGTGGATCCATAGCTCTTTTATCATCCATTTTTATTTCTGATTTTTCAAATTTTTTCTGGTTTTGAAAACCGTAAATTTCCATCAAGTGAAACTATAATTTTTTCCTACTTTTGCGTCATTGGGATTTTGGTAGGATTCTGTCACTATGTAAGTAAAAACAATCACTCTAAATTCAAATTTTGATTCCCTTCTTGGTAATGGTCAATAATTAACAGTTTTATATTAGTTTCAACCGTTTTAAAAACAAAATTTGAAATATATGATTTTCAAAAAAAAAAAAAGAAACGGTGAAAAATCCAACAACATCCGGTGTCAGAGTCGATTTTCCTTTTTTTTATTATGATAAAAAAGTTTTCAACATTAATAATCATTCAGATAATTCATACTGACGACGGGCCGAGCCGGGCCTTCAAAAAGTTCGTCAACGCCCGAAAGGTTTGGACAGTTGCCGCCAGCTTCGTTTTTCAAGCAAAAAAGTTTTTTTTTGGGAAAATGTTGTCTTTATGATCTAATTTTGAGCTAAATTGTAAATATTAAACAAAAAAGTAAATATTAAACAATGGCTAATCAAAATATTGAAAAATACACTTTTTCTGACATTTTTCCGGAAGTGGGATCAGACGGAAAATTGCAAGCAACATAACTGTTAAAAAATTCTCAAAAATTTATCAAAAAAATTTTTTTTGATAAATTTTGACCTTTTTGATAAATTTTGACTAAATTTTGAAGGATACTTAAGATTTGAGAAATAGTAAATTTTTAAGGTGATTTCAGTGACTAAAAAAATTTCAAAAGAAAACTTGGGATTCAAAAAATTATTTTTTTATGTTTTTCAATTTCTGTAAAATCTTTTCAAAAAATATTATTCCTTTCAAATCCACTTTTATCATAAATCTTATTTTTCTAACTCCAACTTTTTAAAAATCCAGATTTATGAAAATTCAATTTTTCTCTGTAATCCGTTTATTTAAAAAAACAAGTTTTGAAATTTTTAAATTGTGTTAGAAGTTTTCTCCAAATACAATTTTTAAAAAATCCACACTTACCAACTTGTGCCAAACGGTCTCTGAAAGATTACCTGTTAAGTGGATGAGAGTGGACTGGAAGTTGTCACAGCTTGCGCTCAGTTTGAACGTTTTTGTTCTTCATTTCAGATGAAAATAGTTTTCTCATTGTTTCGAATTTTTCTTTTTTTTATTATATTTTCTTTGAGACTATTTTATATTAAAGGCAGATTTTCTTCTCTGAATTAGAAACTCTCACTTTCCAAATTTTCAAAAAAGCCCAAATTCGCACTTTCCTCAATTGACTTGGGAAACCACTCGAAAAGTTCAGAAAGCTACAATCCACCAATCCTCCGAGTCCGTCGGAGAAGAATTTCAATTTCAGAATTGTGTCACCGCTCTTTCTCTCCAGTCAGTGCTTGTCGGCCCAGCAGGCCCAACTATCAAATTTCACGGTGCGCTTCGGAAATGTACTTCCCATCACCAGAAGCAAGATGTAGCAAATGCTGGCTTACGGCACTTTTGAAATATATGAAAAACTGTTTTTTGCCGATTTTTGCTCTTTTTTATTGCATGTGTTTCAAACTCTTTACACTCCGAAACACTCTTTCACACGTCAAGAGAAGAGGACATAATTAGATCTACGCATTGTTTCCGTTCGTCGAGTTTTATGTGGATGTATATGTATGTGGTTGTGTTGTCTATGTGTGTATTTCATTGTTGTGGGGACAGGGGTATGAAGACATGGAAGGGGGGATGAGCTTTTTTCATCCTCATCCCATTCTTGTTCTTGGCCTTTTGCTGCCGATTTGAAAGGGTGTATATTTTATGTGCGTGTCTTCTGTGTATGTTATGTCAATGAGCTGAAAAAATACCAGGGGAGGAAGAGATAAAGAAGCGTTTTTGGCAGTTTTTGTGGGCCCCCGCAAAAGGCGAGGGCAAAAAGCTGTGAAACGTGGCTCCCCGAGGAATTTGAAAAGACAAACCACTCTCATTCTCTCCCTCTTTCTCTCTTTCTGATGCGCTGATAGCAGAGCCAGTTGGCTCCCGAAGCTCCATGAGCACTTTGGAACTTTTTATGCAGATCCTTGTTTCAAAAATGTGTGCTTCTTCCTATTTTCTTTCCGTCTTTTTTCTATTTTTCCAACAACTTCCTTCTGGTTTCAATTGTTCTTACACTTAACCTGCAGAGCTCCAAAAATTGCTCCAAGTCAACTTGGTTTCTTCTTCTTCTACAAAAAGCGCACATCATCCACTCAGACCAAAAATGACTGAATATTTCACATCCATCCATCTAGAAAATAGACATCTGAAGAGGGCCATTCCAGTGGATTCTTTTCGAGTTCATTTTAGAGAAAAAAAGGGTTCGGTTGGAAAAACAGACCATCAACTAATTTTTCAACTCATTTAGTTCTTCTGTAAACAAGTTAGAGGCTAAACTCAACACAGCAAAAATGGAAATTACGAATAAAAAAGTTTTCAAGTACTCTCTTTTCCAAAGCTCTGCCCAGAATTGTTTGTTGCACCACCACTAAAAGAGTGGATCCTCTTCAACTTTTTTCAAACTTATCTCTTTCTCGTTTCTGCTTTATTTTTTCTATGCTTGGCACTTTTTGGGTCCTTTATTTCCGGTCTTCAAATTTGAAGTCATTCATGGATAGAGGGTGAAAAGCGGACACCCAATCTATTGATTTTAAGAAATCACGAAGAAAGGGTAAACAGAAAAAAAAACCCTCAGTGTTCGCCTGCCACGTACTTCTATGACCTTTTCCCCCCTACTATTTTGGTGTATCCGGAAGATTTTATCTCGTCAAAAATAATATGTCGTTTCAGGAGCCTACCGCCGACAAACATGCCTAACCAACCACAACCGCGTAAAGGTACGAGAGGTCGCGCGGCTCCCAGGTTCATGGAGAGTGAGTTCTTTTTCTATTCTTTTCTCTTTCTATTGAGTAGCCGCCTTTTTTTTGTGCGTGTGCGTAACGCCCATTCCTGGTGCACCTATTGTCATATTGTGTTTTTTTTTTGGTCGACAACTTCTGGTCGAAGACATAGATATTCGCTGAAAAAAACCTTCTGAGAAAAAGTAAGGTTTGAAATTATTGAAATCCGAAAAAGACCGTGCTTATAATTTTTTATAAACACCACTTGAATATTCAAATCGTGAACATACTCAATCTTCAGATCTATGACTTGTTAAAAATGTCTCTCTGAGTTTTTTCAATGTTTCTTGAAATGTGAAAACTACCATTTACATGGTAAAAAAGCACCAAAAATAACAAAAAAACTAGAAGTACAGCTACTTTTATTTGTAGAGTTTAGAAATACTATGTACAGGTTGATAAATTATACAAAAACATATTTTCAGTCAGTTCGGGTGTCTAGAGCTCGGCTGTCTAGTTTCTGATCATTTTGAAAACCTTAGGCTTACAAAATTTTTCAAATAGTCCTAGCTTTTCAGAAATTTGCCAATCTGAAGGAGACCCGTTTCTCATGTTTTCAGGAAAAAAAACTGGCCAAATAAGATGTTTTTCAGAGCTCCGCAAGAACTAAAAAAACTGGGAATTTTCAAAAAATTTTGAAAATGCAAAGTTTTCAATCTAGGTCTGTTTCACACCCTCCAAACTTTTCAAATACTTGGGAAGCTTGACAGCCGAGCTCCAGACTCCTGAAAAAAATCAAAATGATAGAAAATCAACGGAAAAATACATTTTTGTATAAATTATTGATCAGTACTGTATTATGCTACAGGTAATATTCCTTGTTAAACTTTGAAACAGATTTCAAAATTTTATAATTGAAAAACAATATTTTTCGGGTTAGGTTCATGTTGTCGAAGTGTTTTTTCATGAATTCCTAATTTTTTCAATTTTTGGAGTAGCAGTGAGCTTTTATTTCAATTTCCAAAGTTTCGACATCAATAATAAACAATTCAGACCAAAACATAACATCCTCTAGTACCCAACACATCCCCAATTTTCCATTACGAACCCCATTCAAAATTCCAGTGTCCGACAAAGTGGATTTCACGGCATGCGGTTGGGTGCTCACAATCTTCTCATATATTCTAGCAGTTCTCACACTGCCAATTTCAATATTTCTTTGTGTAAAGGTAGGGGGAATCTCCAATATCACTCATCACATTTCCTGACACATTCCTGCAGGTCGCACAAGAGTACGAGAGAGCTGTGATATTCCGATTAGGACGGGTGAAGCCGGGAGGTGCTCGTGGACCGGGGCTGTTTTTTGTGGTCCCATGTATAGATTCGTATAAGAAGATTGATTTGAGAACGTTGTCTTTCGAAGTGCCACCACAAGAGCTGTTGTCAAAGGACGCGGTGACAGTTGCCGTGGATGCTGTGGTGTTTTTCAGAATTTCCAATGCGACTATTTCTGTGAGTTAGCTGGTCAGGGAGGATGAACATTTTATGATAAACTCAAAAATCTTGTTAAAATGAACATGAGCTGCGTTTATGGCCAATGAAATATATTTTTTCAGTTGATTTTTTGTCATTCCGCCCATTTTCAGGAGTCCGGAGCTCAATTCTTCAGTTTCCGATTGTTTTGGAATTTTTAAAGAATTCTGCAAATACAAAGTTTTCAATTTTGGACTATTTTACACCCTCCAAAATTTTCGAAGTGATCGGAAACTTGACTTCCTAGCTCCAGACTACTGAAATTGGTCCAAATGAAAGAAAATCAACTGAAAAATACGTTGTTTCATCGACCGGTACTGTTTACGATTCATAGATTCCGAATTGTGACATCACTCCAAAGCGTTAATGTTCCACTTGCTTTTGGTACTCACTGTATTATTTTTATCTCGAAAAAAATCCGAACTTCAAGACATAAATTGTAAGGTCACTTCATGTTTGAAGAAATTGGGTAAAACAACTATAACCAAACATTTGAAGATGTATAAAATTTTATAAGAATTTTTGATATATCCAATCACTGTGAAACGTGTAATGGAAAGCCTCAGACCCACTTTAAGACTTTTTCCCTTGTGAGGTATCGAAAATGTGTTCTTTGACAAAATGTTTTCCATGATATATTAGGTTGGTAGGAAAGTAACTGTCCCTTGTTTTATCTGTGAACAATACAAAAACCAGATTAAGCCAACATTAGCAGTATGCACCGTCGTGGTCCATAGCATGTTGCCAACATTCAGGTATTTTGTGGCTACCCTACCTCCAAAAGCGAGCTAGCCGCGGATCAAAGAATTAATTTTTTTAGTTTTTTCTCATAAATGGTGCAAAATTCATCACCCTCTAGATTACTTCGTATATCTCCGAATAACCAATAATCTGATAGAGCCGAGTCGGGACTATAAGTATGTGAGGAAGAACCGTCCCGCTGAAGCGGCTCAGGTCTGACTTGACTGTCGTTAAAAAATGAAAAAACCGCATGTTCACGGAAAGTCACGTAGTACCTTAGCCGCTTTGGCTGGACGGTTCTCTTTTACTTCCGTGAAAGTTCTGATTTTGTTTTATCAGAATATTGGTTATTCGAAGATATACGACTTTATCTGGAGCGTAAGGACTTTAACATTATCGATGAGAAAAAAAAGTACTACAGCAATACTTTGATTCGCGTCCAGCTGGCTTTTGGAGGGATGGTATCCACGAGTTACCTAAATGTTGACAACATGCTGTGGATCACGACGGTACATACTGTCAATCTTGGATTAATCTTGTTCTTGTTTTATTTACTAATTAAAAAATGGACAGTTACTTTCCTGCCAACCTAATAAGGAACATTTGATCAGTTGGCAACCTATTCATATCTTTAACAGACATCAAGATAAATTAGCTCGTAGTTGAAAATCAGAGCTTTTCTATCACAGGTAATGTGGTAGCTACACGCCTTCCATTTTTTCTCTTGATCAAAATCATCTTTGCAGGTAATCAATATTGAAGATGCCGCCAGATCTACTAAACTTCTTGCTCAAACAACTCTTCGAAATATTCTGGGAACCAAAACACTGACCGAAATGCTCTCTGACCGTGATGTGATCTCTCTTCAAATGCAGGTTGGTACCATATCTATCATCACTCATCCCCTTTTCACATTTTTTCACTCGATATACATACACATTCCACAAAAACCGCGCACATTTCAGGCAACACTTGACGAGACCACAATCCCATGGGGCGTTAAAGTTGAACGCGTTGAGATGAAAGATGTTCGTCTTCCGTACCAATTGCAACGAGCAATGGCTGCTGAAGCAGAAGCGACAAGAGAGGCGATGGCTAAAGTTGGTGGAGATGAGATAAGATTTTTTGAGGAACTCTTTTTGCAGATTATTGCCGCAGAAGGAGAACAAAATGCGTCGATGGCTCTGGCAGAAGCTGCTGATGTGATTTCCATGTCTCCATGTGCCATCCAGCTACGCTACTTGCAAACTCTCAATAGTATTAGGTACTGTACAACAAAAAATCGATTTTCGAAACTTTTTTCAGCTCTGAAAAAAATAACACAATTGTCTTCCCTTTCCCAATGGAAATGATGTCCCGATTCATCAAGAACCAGAAGAAGCATGTGATGAAAAGGTTTTGAACTATTCAATATTCCCTCGCAAAACTTTTTTTACTTCTTATTTCAGAATGAGTGCGCTCAAGTACAGCTGAATATGAAACTTCCGATGCTTTCACGTCTTCTCCCTTCATCTTATTTTCAACCACAGCACACGCCATCCTATTCGATGAATGTGTCAATCTTACTATTTCCTTTCTGTCAAAAACTCTTTGTGCACATTTATTCATTCGTCCACTACCACATTTTTTTTCTCACTATTTATTTCTTTCTTTTTATCCCGGTCCCACCCGTTTTACCCTCTACCAATTGAATAAAATATTTAATAGTAGAAAAGTTGGTGAGGTTTCAAACGTTTCTCTTTTTTTTTTTTGGTTTGGTGAGAGAGTCAGGTTTGTGGTAATTTGGTTTGGATTCATATTGGTGAGAATGAGGTGAGGATACGGTAAGTGCTAGAAAATTCGTTTTGTTCAATAGTTGCAAATGTCAAAACTCTAGGCTAACAAATTTTGAACGTTTTTACCTTGAAAACTGCGAGATTCATTTTCGGTATAATATAATCTGATCCTATAGGTGCAATTTGAGCTCAATTTTCTTGGATCCTGTGAAAGATATAAAAAATATGCGAGCTGATAAAATATTGGTAATATTATGACAAATAATCTATAAGCATACTTTTAATCCGGGCCTTTTCTGAGCTATCGCGGGCCCTGCCATAGTTTCTTTCAGAATCAAAATTTTTATACCAACTAAATTGGATATAATAGAGCTTGACGAGTACTACAAAATAATACTATGCGGAGAACTGTATCTTGTCTGCGAACAAAGTTACAGGTCATAAAGTGGCTTTTCTCGGGCGTGCTGCCGGGCCTGCTTTTTCCGCTCTTTTTCGTTTGTAACTTTGTTCGCAAACAAGATACAGTATTCTGCATAATATCATTTTGTAGTAATCGTCGAGCTCTATCACATCCGATTTAGTTGGTCTGAAAGTAATGGGAAGGCCAGAGAAACGCCCGGATTACAAGTATGTCTATAAGTAGAACAATGTTTAGTTGAACAATATTTTAAGGAATTGAAATAATTGAGCTCAATGTGCACGTATAGTTCAGACTCCTAAGATAGCAAATACGGAAATCGTTAATTCATTTTATCGTTTTGTGAGAAAAATATGAGAACTTGGTCAATGGACGATATATTGTTAACATTATGATACAATCAGTGGCTTCGGCCCATTACCAATAAAGTATTGTGGTTTGAATACAACTTTGTTAGCTATCCAATTTTAAAAATATTTTATGGAAACAAAGAAAAATTGGCTCAAAGTTTACAGTTCGCGTTTCACGACATTATAGGCTTTCAAAGAAATCGTTTTTAGGGATTTTTGGTACAAAATTCGGTATTTCAAAACTTTCAAAAAATCTGAACGGGATATTTTAAAAGCCTTTTTTTTTAAGAACACAGGTTATTCGCGAACAATCCGTTACGGGCGCTCAGCGTTCGCGCGCGGTTGAAATAGGAACCGTATACGGAACGCACGCGACCCGTTTTCAGAAAACCACAGCACATTATTCCGTATTCCTCCGTATTCTATCCGTTCGCGAACTCCGTATCCGATCCGCTTGCGAATGATGGACAAACGGATCCGTTCGCGAATCAGA